AACCGCGAGGCGGCAGGGCCTGGAGACGTGGAGGGCGCTGGGCGTCCACAGTCCGTGACGTGAGGGACCGCGGCCAACGTCCACAACACAAGCCTTAGTGTCTCTCCCCTCCAAACCCACCGCCCATCTGCTCAATTGCTGCATTGGGCCATCCAGCCGGGGGCGTCTTCTCCCCATAATATGGAGACCCGTCCTCCACTGACACTGGCTCGCTGGACCAGACGAACGCTGTTCATTTCCAATCGCCGCGACTCGCTTTCCTCCGATCTCCAGCCTCCCCAGTTGGCTGCCCGTTGTTCGTCTGGTCGCTGGCTGTGCTGGCCGGGACTGGCCGGGCAGCTTCGGTGGGTCTTGCCTGGTTGGCCTCCTCCTCTCCAGCCATGAGGCTTGATGCTCCTTATTGTTGACTTTTGGATGTGGTTGCCAGGCGGTCTGTCCTGTCAGTGCAATTAGCTGCACCCATCGCACGCCGCAAGCGTCCCGTCAGTTGTCAACGGGGGCAAATGGCGGGGTGGGTGGCACAGCATCCTCGCGTGCTATTTACGGCGGGCGATAACCACATGGCGATGTCTGAGGGCATTTGCGCTGCACAACGCCTGCGGTGGCCGCTGAGCTGCGCTGCTGCGGATTGCAACGACTAGACGGGACGCACTGCAGCTGGCAGCCGACAGCCGTCGAGTGCCGGGTTTTGCCCACATAACGGAACCTGATGGCTTCGGCATGACTTGCTCTAGCGGCAGCGTAGTTCGTGGGCAAATCTCCTGAGCAGCCGCTGCTTCTTCGGTGACACTATCCACACTGATCTCATGCTCAATAACGCCAATTGAGATTTGGTTCCCGGCCACTGAGGCGGCTGAGATCTGAGGCGTCGGCCAGAAGGACGGGAGTTTTGCTCGCTAGCTCATTCGCCGTTGTCTGCGTTCGCAGAGACTCCGAACGAGTACCGCACGCAACGTACCGAACCAAACAAACTCTCAGTAGTCAGGGTCCGTGGAGAGGGGCCCGAGTCAGGTCAAGCAGTGAATATGACGCAGGTCGTGCAACGTCAACGCTCAGAGATCTCGTTCCGTGCCCATCAAATTCCTGGAACAGCAAGAGCCAATCCAGCCACGGACGAAAGATCTGCTGTCGAAACCTGACAACTGAGCGAAGCTGAAAAGATATCGACGTCGATACCCCACCGTCCTCAGCCGTCCGTTGGTGAGGGAGATTGTGCCTGCGCAGGGAGATTCCTGCGTCCGATGGAGATTTGGCGGAGACGAGCCCATCAACAAGCCTCTGAAGGCGAAGCGAAGCGAAAGCAGAGGCCAGCTGGAGATGGAGATGGGGATGGAGCTGGACCCGAATGAAGAAGATCGTGCAGGACCCAAAACCTTCAACAGAGACAACAGCTCGCCAGCCGCCCAGCTCCCAGGGGTGGAACTTGTCCGCAGAGTGACAGACAACCCACCTCTGGACCTCGAGGAGCTCCACTGCCTCCAGAACGCCTCCAGAAGCATGAGGGCCGTTTGTGGGTTCGCTTTGACTTGGCATTTGCAAATAGGTTGCCGGGAGGCCCCGCCCACGACGGCGCGTCCTCTTGGTTTTTGGTGGCACCAGCCTGAAGTTGCGACCAAGACGACAGGCTGGCCGCTCGTGGCCCTGCCGCCTCGCCCGAACGCACAGAATTCAGTGGCGGGGATCCCAGCAATCAAGACCGCTGCGCAGCATTGATGGGGTTTGAGTGGAAGAGTGCAGTGCGCGGTTGTTCCCCTTCTTTTGCCACAGCCTCGCGACGACGGTCTGTTCATTGCTGCAGGTGGCCAGTGGCATCTCTTCGCTGTCGCCGAAGCGCTAGGCATTAACAGCATCCATGGGCTTGCAGAGCGCGATTTCACGCAGCAGAAAAAAGACTGGAGTGTCCCCGGAATCTGGCCGACCCCACCGCGCCATCCCGTCCCCCTCGGCGGCTCTGGCTTCGGTCCTCATCCTCTTTCGACAGCAACGTCCGGCCGAGGTCCGTCAAGCCGCCGCCGGCCAGAGACAGCCCCGACGAGGCTTTGACGAGGAGGCGAAACACACAAAGGACGTTCTGTAGACCGCGGCTGCGACGCTGACAGAGCCACGGAATGGATGCGAGAAAGACTGAGAATTGGTCAAGCAGATGCTGCACACTGACACGACTGGCATGGACAGGTTTCCGAATGGGACACCGACATTCCGCTCCGTTATCCCTGTAAAATGATTGGGCGCTTGATCGTCGGTTCAGAGTTCAGTGCGTTAGTGGGTTTGTCGGCCGAGAGAAGCCCACGGCCGGGCAGGTGTCAGGCGAGTTTTCAACAGGCTTTCCGCAAAAAAACGGCGGGTACCGTGGTTGCAAGACTCTGTCTGGGTGGCGGCAGCAGAGCGAGGAAAAAGAAAATCTACTTGCATCGTCTCTCCCAAAACGGCCAGTCGCTCCTTTTGCCCAGCTTCGCGCCTCGCTGCCAGCGGTACGGTTGGAGGCAAGACAAGTCCGGGATCCCAAGGTCGTGGTCTGCCAAGTTGCCGCCATCATTCCTACAGCGGATATCTCTCACGTGTGAGGGACGTGGTCTTCCCCAGATGATCCCAAATGAGACATGTCGTCGTTAAACGAGCCTCATCTGCGAGAGAGAGCCAGGGCTGGGAATGAGGAAGGGGCTGGTGGCGACGGGGTGTTATCGAGTTTTGGTTTCAGCGATAATCACAGAGGGAGAATCAGAATCAGGCCAGGCCAGCAAGATGTGCCGTGTTGGTGGTTGGTGGTGCACTGGTGGCCGCATGCCGTCCCGTCCGCCTTGTGGGTTAAAGTCGGTGAGTTTTGGATTGGGGTCGCATCGGCAGTGAGTGAGGGGATTTCTGGCTCGGTGCCTCGCAGCAGCAGCAAACGAAGACGAGACAGCGCCGTGAATTCCAGTCTCGCCAGCCAGTCCCGTCCCCAGCGATCCGTCTTGCTGGGAGTGGACAATCGGGCGCCGCGAATCGAGATAACGGACCACTTTTCGACGAGCACAGACGCGCTTGTCCCCAAAGGGTATCCTTGCTGCATGCCATGCTTCATCACCCCTGCGCTTAATCAATCGATGCAGGGTCCTCCTCGCCCATTGGCTGTCGCTTTTGCGCCGTTATCGCCGTTATCGCCGTCTTGTGATTGGTCGGTTTGTCAATGGAATGTGAATGCAAAATTGCCTCAGGCAGGTCGTCGTCGGAGTGCGTAGCTGACACTGGCCAGCGAGAGCTCCCAGCTTCCGCCGAGCAAACAGCTCCTTCTCCTCCGATCCCGGGGTTCCCAGCTGAGTTGGTAGGGCGCAACTGCTCGACGGCCACTGGCTGAGCTGAGCTGACTCGCCGGGCTCCCAATCGCTGAGGAAGGAAGCGACAGAGGTGAACTGGCGTCTGCACTCTGCACGTCTGCAGGGCGCTCAGCATGTGACGTCGCTGCACCGGCATCCCTCGTCGGCGCAGTCGGTGACCGCTGCTCACCGCCTAGTGACATACCACCCATTCCAGCTCAGCCGTGCGCTTCATTCCAAGTGGCCAATCTGCAATGGCCACCTTATCCTGGCCGGGTATGCTGTCCGACCAGCTAACCAAGACGACGGATGTCCTCCCGGGAACGCCTTCCCATCGTCCGGTCTGAGGGTTTAGGAAAAGCAAAACCTCGTTCCCGACCAGAGATTGAAAGAAAGGAGAAATTGCTCGAGATGGCAGGTTGTTACGGATAACGGACGGACGACGTTGGGATGTGTGTCGTGCCCGGCTGCCGATCCGTGCAACCAAGAACGGCGCCGCGGTCGGTTCAGTCTCCCCCTCGCGTAAATTGCGCATCCTTTCGACGATCCCTTTCCCATTCCTCTGTCCCAAACGTTCCGTGACGTTTAAGGGGGATTTGCCAGTGATCGCCCGCACCCGAAGCGAAAGGAACGCGAGTGTTGGTGTGTTGGTGTGTGTGTGAGACGGCCTGTCTTCCCCGCGGAAACGGTTCGAGAGCAAGCTTCCGCGCTTGCGCTCCCCAGCTATTCGCAGCCAGCCAGCCCGTTTGCCCAACACCACCATGAACATGATCTCCCAAACCCCTAGCCGAGCGACAAGCCCGCCGGCCGTCTGACATCGGTTGCACGGTCGCACCGGGGCCTGGCAGACCCCTTTTTTCTCTTCCCGTCAGTGTGGTGTACTGCACATCATTGGAATGCCATGACGTTACCGGGAGCTGCTCTTCTTCCGCTCTGGGCAGGTTGACACGGGATCGCTCGATGAATCGAGATTAAACCATGGACTTTTGCGACTTTGCAAGAGTCAGGTCCTTTGCGATGTTCGTCCCTTTGGCTGGAGTGATTGACTTTTTCCCTCAGATTGGCAGCTTAGATGATGATGATAGGAGACTCCGAAGCCTTATCAGGGCAGGTATGACGTCGATGCTGTGCCATCGAGGCCGGGGGTTCCTGAGTTTGTTTCCGCCAAGGCAGGACGGCCCCCAAGATGGAAGTGAGAAGGTTTTGACGCAGGCAACTGTCGGTCAGAGCTTTGCGTGTGTTGAAGCGGAAGGAGCATTAGCAGCTCTGTCCCTTTCCATGGGAAAAAGCAAGTGCGGGAGGGCGGTCAGAGGCAAGAGCTCCCGTTCCGACTGAGGCACTCGCGGTCCACGTGCTTTCCGTACCTGGAAGTTCCCAGAGTCTCGAGACGGGGAAGGAGTAGCCGTTCAACTTGGAAATAGAGAAGGTCTTTGGTTGCGACTGCTAAGATGGACATCTGAAGGATGGCCACCGATGACTTGGCAATGCTCAGCGAGCCATGGGAATGGCTATGGGCATTAATCTCACTTCAAAATAGCAATATGGCGACGAAGGTCTGGACTCAAAATTGTACATAGTCTCATCAACAATACAGCCGGCTCACACCGCCTCTCCAAGTCATTGAGTTGAGGGTATCACAGCCTCTCACTCCGAGAAGCCAAGGTCAACATTACAATCCATGTCCTCCCTCACGTTCCAACACGTTCATCATTCCTCGGATGTCCTACTGGCGTTCCAAAGCTCCCTAAATGCACCGCCCTCCTGATCCTTCAACACACCTGGCTCGCCCTTCTCTACCACGCGCCCCTTGTCCATGACCACGATGGTATCGCAATCCATCACAGTGTCCAGCCGGTGAGACACCATGATGACGGTGTACCCCTTGAACTCCCGTGAGATGACATTGTGCATCTCCACCTCGGTGGCCTTGTCGACGCTTGACGAGACTTCGTCGAGAAGGAGGATGCCACCCTCGGCACCGTTGCGCCCCCTGACACGGCGGCGGAGAACGGCCCGCGCAAGGCAGAAGAGCTGCTTCTGGCCCGCGCTGAGAGCCTCTGAGGGAAGGTCGGCAGACAGGCCACCGCGATCCTCGATTGCTGCGGAAAGCCCAACTTGTTCGAGAACGCCCCTGCATTCTGCTTCATCTGCTTCACCGAACGGGTCAATGTTGTCCTGGATGGTCGAGCCGTCAGGAAGGAAGATGGGGTCTTGGGAGACAGCGATGATGCGGCGGCGGAGGACGTCTCTGTCTATTTTGCTAGCGGGCAGGGAATCGATGGTGATGTCGCCGTCGGAGTCTGGGAGAGGGTTGAGGAGACGGAGGAGCAGGAGCACCAGAGAGGATTTCCCACTTCCCGTGCGTCCGCAGACGGCTACCGTCTCGCCGGCGTTGATGGTAAGATCGAGATCACGGATGGCGAGTTCATCCATAGACTTGGGGTCCTCGGGGTCGCCGTACGAAGCTGAGATGCCCTTGATTTCGACCGCGCCCCTCTGAGGCCAGCTTTCCTCGGGTATAGTGTCTTCTTCCGGCCCAGTCTCGGGCTTGACTGTCTCATGGAAAGTCTTGATACGTGCTACGGCGCCGATACTGGTTTCTACCGAAGTAAACGAGGACGCGAGCATGGTGAGCGTGTCACTCAATCGCATGATAGTCACGAGAGTTGCTCCTGTGTATCCCGAGTTCGCTCGCAGCTGTGTCGACAGAGTGACGACAAGAATCGCGATGGCGGCAACAATGAGCCTCAAAACGAGCGCCAGCCAACGCTGGATGAGGGCAAGCTGATACGCTGGCCTTTGGCTGGTGTCGAGTAGACGGTTATTGACCGAGATGTCGGTGGGTATGAAGCCCAATGCTCGCACGGTGGCCAAGCCCTTGAGAGTGTCGATGAAGTGAGAGCTGGGTTGATGGTTAGCTGAGGTGAGTGAGTTCAAGAGACATGTGACTTACTAGAGAGGACCCTTTGCCTCGAGATCCAATAGCCGCAACTGCCTCGACGTCCGCAGGTAGAACCTCTGCACCGCGACCACGACCCCGATGAGGAACGGGTAGGTGATAACCAGCCAGGGTGATGTGGTTGCAATGATGAATAGCATCCCGATCGCAGTGAACATCCCAAAAGAAAAGTTGATGAACGCCATGGGAAGCTCTCCGTCAATCAGGTTGATGTCTTGGGCAAAAAGCCCGGTGATGGTGCCGGCATCAGTGACTGTCAGGTACCTCAAAGGCGCGCCAATGAGTGTCCGCAGGCTCTGTTGGTGAAGCTTGGCTCCTGACTGGTAGATCATGATTCTCAAGCAGATGAATATGACCATGATCAAGGAGACGAGACACAGCACTTCGAGGAGGGCGTATATGCCCAAGTAGTATGCTTTCCCATGCTTCGGATCCGGTGACACAATGTCCTCAGACCAGACCTTGAGCCAGATGTTGGGAAAGGCCTGGTTGAAGCCGTAGGAGGTGCACCAGAAGAAGTATCCAGCAAGTACCAGCGGCGACATGGTGCCGAACCAGTGTCCGTAGACCGACGTGTCGCCCACCTGGCGTGCCTTGTCCGCCTCCTTCTCCAAGACGGACTCGGCAGTCTTTGTTTTTGTCAGAGCGATAGGCTCAGGTTCATCTTCGTCGTCGTCGTCGGCACCCTTGGAAGCAGCCTTTTCCTCCGAAACTTTGAGGCTCTCAATGTATTTTCCGTTGTTTTTCAAGTGGGCGAAAGAGCCTTGTTCGACCACGGTGCAATCTGTACCGAGGGCTATGATGTGGTTTGCTGAAGGAAGGTGCCGGACCGAGTGAGTGCAGAGCACTGCCGTGACCCCTCTGCGGCGAACGATGCCATCAGGACCAAACACGCGGCGGAAAACATGCTCCTCTGTGGTGGCATCGAGGCCGCTCAGAATGTCGTCGAGGATGAGAATCTCGGTCTCCAGGTAGAGGGCGCGTGCGAGGGCAACTCGTTGTCTTTGGCCTCCGCTCAATGTGACGCCATTGCTGCCAATCTTGGTGCGGTCACCTTTGGGCAGCGTTGCCAGGTCTGCAGACAACATGGTGGCGTCGATGACTTGTTTGTAGCGCTCCGGGTCCAGGGCAGAGTGCCCAATAATGTTGGCCTTGACCGTGTCGTTGTAGAGGAAAGGGGACTGGTCGCAGTAGCCCACGTTGCGGCAGCTGACTCCAAAAGCGACTTCACCGGAATTGTATGGTGTCTCGCCTAGAAAGGCCTTCAACAAAGTCGACTTCCCAGAGGCAATGGGCCCCACAATGATGGTGAGGGAAGAGGCGGGAATCTTGATGTCGATCTTCTCCAAGACGTTCTTTCCCTGTTCCCAGCCGAAGAAGCCTTGCGTGACTGTAATCGCGGTGGCCTCAGAGTCCGCCGGAACATTCCCGTTCTGCTTAGCTGGGGGCATCGATTCAGGGGTCTTGCGGAAATCCACTCGCGCTTCCTTGTTGAGATATGCTTGGATACGGCCCAAACAGGCGAATGCTCCAGTCATCATCGGGAACGTTTGCAGCAGCAGTCCCAAGGGGCCAGCGATGAGCATCAAGTAAGCGATGGACGTAAAGATGCGAGTAACATCCAGAGTCGACGAGGTTGTCGCAAATGCCACCGTCGGCCCGAGTAGGGTCGGCGTGAAAGAAGCAGCGACAGCGCAGATGATCATGGAGCGCCACCGTCCGCCATCATGAAGATCCTGGAGCCGCAGTTTGAGAATCAACCTCTCCACCGGGCCAGTCATGGCAGAAATCTTTAGCGCCTTCATACTGGAGATAGACTTGGACGTCACGCCCACCCGCTTCTGGATAGCCTTCATCCACACTGCCTGACGAGACGCTGACACGCCGGCAATGACTGCGGCGATTGCGAAGCAGATGATGACAAGAATGATGGGTGACACAAAGGCAGCACCGATCTGGCGCTCGAGGAGCCAGCATGCGATTGCAATCTCGATGGGGTTCGCCCAGTATTCGTGGAAATGCTGGATGCCGCCCTTGAAGCGCTCCACGTCGGCGTTCATGAGCGTCAAGGCCGCAGAGTCGTCTGCGGCAGAGAGCTTCAGGACTGTCGTCTTGCGGTACACAGCGGACGCCAGCACTCCCCTGACCATGAAGAGAGACCGTTCGTGCAGGTAAAAGTGCAGCGCCTGACAGGCTGCCATGCCGACGTAGATGAAGAACGCCGCGCCGATGAATGCGTAACCCTTGTTCGGCGACGAAGAGTCTGCGGGCTCTACTAGATAGCTCAGGAGACCTTGAATCAAAAGGGGCTGCCCAAACATGAATCCTATTCGAAGGGCCCGAGGGACGACCGGCAGGATCAAGGGGATCGCGAGGGTACGAAACAAGCTTCTGGCGAGGGGATGCGACTTGCCGACGCTGTTGTTTCTCGCATAGTGAGGCTCAAACTTTGCGTGCAAGACCTCGGCCGTCATAGCATCGTCGAGGAGGTAGAGGTCACTGATTGTGAGAACTTTACGGTATCCCTTGATGAAGAGGCCGTTCAACCAGAAGAACGAAGCCAGCTTGATGATGCCGCCATACGCTTCGGGACCCTGCGGTTTCTGGTCGACGTACCATGCCAGGGGCTTTTGGTGAGACTCCACGACCAAAATTGCAGCCTTCAAGACGAGTGATGCGAGGGAGGTGTAGGCTTGCTGACGGCCGGCATCAGACCCTGCCGAAAGCCACAGCGTTCGTGAAAGCGGAACGTCGAGAACGAACGTCACCAGAAGGAAGATGCTGAGCAGAGTTGATGGCCGGGGAGAGCGGGCATGCTCCAAAAACGACAACGGCATCATCGCAAGACCGACCACGAATACCATCGCATCCGATGCGACTGACGTAGTCGTTGTCCATGACGTGCTACGGCTGGTCAGAACCAGTTGATGAAGCCGAAGTCCGGCGTATGCGGCGATGAAGAACTGGTTGGTGGTCAGACAAGGCGCAGAAATGAAGGTGAGCAGTACTTGCGATTTTCAGCCATTGGAACTTGGGACCTGCTGCAACTCTGGGCCTGCGGAGGAGAACGAACAAGCGCGGCAGAGCAGCCACAATGAAAACGGCCGCAGGGACGATTGTCAGGATCACCTGCTCGAACTTGATTGTCAGGTCGAAGTCATCACGACAACCGTGGACGACGGGACCGAATGTGTCATCATTGGTGCAGGAATTCTTCATCGCGGCGTGACGAGGAAGGAGAAGTCGCGTATGGCAGCCTGAGCCGATACTCTGTTCGGTGAAGCTGGACAAAATTCAATCGGTGAGGAGCATTCGGCGCTGTAGTACGAACTGAGGCCAATCTGAAAACAGGAGTGAGCGAGATCAGACGCGCGTGACTGGACAGCACCAGGACTACTCGCGTAAACATAAGTAGCGAGTCGTGCGGCGCAGCAGCGACTGAGAGTGAAGCTATAATCGTCAGCCAGCAGTAGATTGTAAAGGGACTTTGGTTTATTTGGTTAGATCAGTCTAGCGTATCAGTGTCCGGGGGGGTGTTCCTGTTGTCCCGATGGGGAAGGCGGATATGGATCCATCCCTGCGCGGTGCCGCGATCCCGTTTGGTGCCTGAGACATGGAGTTGGTAGTTAGTGTTTACCGAGCAGTAAGCCGATGCGACACAGCTATGATAGGCTCATGGCGGCGTCCATCTGAAGGCATCGCGTGCCTTAAAATGGCTGCAGCAATTGGCGCTGTTATTCGCAACTCTGGATGGCTTCTGTGAAGGTGTATCACTTGGAAAGCCCATGTCGGTAGCAACGAAAATTGTCATCGGTGTGCCTCATGCAGAACTCGTCGGCAAGACCCATGTCGGCTTGCCAATGCGCCAGAAAGAAGCCGCTTCTGTGCATGTCGAGATCGATGAGATGCTCCATCCGACAATAAGCCCCGGAGTGCCGGCACATACCCCACAGGAGCTTCGGCGCCGAGACCCACATCGCCGGTCTGCTCCGGGCTGTGCGTCCCGGTCATTGCCCGCTGTGCGTCCGATCCGCGCCGTCGAAGTCCGGAGCGCACTCACCTGGATGGAGCGCGCCATGACCCTCGAGAAGTGCACGACGTCCAGTCCGAAAAGTCCCGACGACCCAAACCCCAGTTCTCCGTATTGCTCCGCCCTTGACAGCTGTTGAACCAGACCAGCATGTCATTGCCAGCAACCCCAGGATGTTGTGGGGGCGGGATCGACATGAGGGCATTCGTACGGCAGCGCGCCCATGGGCGAGATTCCCGACCCCAGGCCCGTTTCATTCCATTCCCGTCGGGGCGTTTCAAGATTGAGCCTTTGGTTGCATTGGCTACCAGGGCGATCGCTGACTCGCTGGACCACACACAAGATGCGGAGCAACTGCAGCGCCCAAGACGTCTAGGCAAGGGTCGAGCCCCCTTTTGTGCTATTTTGACGATCAACTCTCACGATTGGAACCTATTTTTCGAGCGTGGGGGTTAATCGAGAGACAACTCATCGAATGCCAACCCCATGGGCCGTCCGGGAGAGCGACCTTCGTCTAAATAAAGGCACCTCACCTCCCCTTCTTCGTCTGAGACGCGGACAACGTCCCGCTCACAACGAGAAGCCAAGAGATAATTGAAACGTTCATCGCCAAGCATACGGCGAGACCGCAGCCTGAAAGCTTTTTTTTTGTTCTCCTTCATCGCCAGACGGATAGTCCCCCAATTGCCGCCGCGATGGCCCCCCTAAGAAACCGATAATACCCAAAACCCGCCAAGCTGCTGCCAAGTCCTCGGGCCACCAGCCGATTGCACCGCCCGACGTCCGAGGCCGAGCCTCAACGTAGACCTCCAAAATAGACAAGACGCTTCTGGGTACATTCATAGCAAAGGGGTTGGAGGCATTATGTGTAAGGGGCAAAGATGAACCATACGAGGTTATCGAGCAGAGAGGTCAGGCAATTTCTCTGGGAGGCTATCAAATCAACTTACAGAGAATTCGTCAGAAGAGCCAGGGGTTAGACGCATTCCTATGGCTCTTTGATGCAGCAATGTGGCCCGCAGCTGGTCTAAGCATTGAGCGTAGAGTATCGTCCCGATCACGTCCTAAAGGCAATTTGTACAGGCCTCACCAGGACATCCAGAACCCATAGAAACGCTTGGCAAGAGGGAACACAAGTTGCATTGAAACCCCTGGGCCTGGCCTATCTTGAAGTCGCACTTTAAAATTGCCCAAGATGCTAGCAGGCTGGGCTTCCGCATGCCAATGTTGACTGGTCAAGAGCCAAGCAATGAAGTTCCCATAAATATCACACACTTCAATTTCATGGACTTGTCCGACAAGCAGGCCAAAGTATATAATCAACACAGACGCTCAGCTTCAAACTCATCTTATCCATCATCAACCATCATCATCATCAAGCTTAGTCTTCATCCGAACAGCCTTCAGCCAAACTGTCAACCTCACCTTCTTCACACGCCATCACCACACACATCAGTCAACATGCGCGGCATCTTCATTACAGTTCTCGCCCTCGTCGCGGCCTCTGCTGCCCAGTTCACCGGCCCTTGCACAGACAGCAACTGCGGTGTCTCTGGCGAAAACTGCGAAGCCGAGGGCCGCCAGTGCTTCCCCTTTCCCAATGTCAACCCCGCGCTCCGCGAGGGCTGCGTCTGTGGTTCTGGTTAGGGTACATCCGACGCTGGAGTTTCAAAAATGTAAGTGATGTCTGATCATTCGGTCTCCAGCCTGTCATCTCATCATCCTCCCAGGTTGTCCGGCCGCCATAAGAATACATGCATCCTGAAAACACGGGTTCGGGACTCGGGCTGGCTTTGATTTGGATTTGGCAGGACGAAGCGTTTCTTTGACCATCATCTATTTAGCGTACAAGATACTTAGCACAGACTAAGAATGGATAGCCGGCGTTGTTCGGCGCCAGAATGTTTTCAAATCAAGCCCCGTCCCAGGCCTCATTCCAAACGGCTTCAAACTCGAGAGAGGCTTTCTTCCACTGAATGCTTGCGATTCGCGCAAACGCAAGTTCCCATGATCGACGAGTCATTTGATGCTCGTGCCGGATCTTGGCTTTCTCCAGCGGACATCATGCCGAGCCTGGACCAGGCCAACACGGCTTTGAGCTTGTCCCACGGGCTTCAGTGAGGCCAGACCCGGCGAGAAGATGCGGAGAAGTGACGATGTGAGATGCGATGACACGAGCCAAGACACTCACTTGCCAGGACTGCCTTGATGAGTCGAGAATGGCTTGAACATCCCAGCGGCATTCGTAAACCACCATCAATTCACGTCAATTGAGTCCGATGGCAAGAGGCATCTGCTTCAATTGACCTAAGAAGTCTCAACATCCACCCAAGGCCCCATGAGCTTGCTCAGGTCCGTCTCCGAGACATCCCACTCTCTCTGAATGACCTCCCGAACCCACTTGCCTCTAGGTTTCAGACTAAATTTGAACTCTGAGGGCGCCGTCATGAACCCCGCGACCTCCATAGCCATCGAATCAACCTGGCCAACGGGTGCAACCTCAAAGGCCCACAGCAGACTCGCAACAATCATGAAGGTGTTGTCGAGAGCCACCCTCTTCCCCAAGCAGCTTCGTCTTCCATGCCCAAAACCCGCCAACGGGAGGTCCGTACGAAGCTTTCCCTCTTCGTCTAGCCACCTCTCTGGAACGAATGAACCCAGATCGCCGAGTGATTCGTCAAAGACCTTCTCGTCTCGGCCAATGGCCCAGGCATTAGCAAATAGAGTCGCTCCCTTGACGATGGGCGTGCCGAAAATCTCGTCTTCCTGATCCGCTCTCCTGGGAATGCTGCCCGGCGCGATTGGCCTCCAACGCACCACTTCCGAAACTATTGCATCAATGTACATCAGATTCGATCGGTCTGTGAACCGCGGCAAGCGGTCCCTACCAACAAATTGGTCCAAGACAGCGTGTGCCTTTGCCACAAAGCCCGGGTTGGCATGCGCAGCGACCAGAAGCCACAGCGTCTGTCTCGGGCTCGTCTCCATCCCGCCCGAGATACTGGTCGCCAGCGTGAAGGCGAGGTCCAGATCCGGCACAGCCTCAGTATCAGGATTCTTGGCGGCGATAGCGCGTGCCTGCTTCGTGGCGTTCCAGCCAGGCTCGTTCATTGCGATTTCCACAAGACGAAGGTAGAGATCTCGTTGCTCGATGAAGAGCTTGTTCGCAGCACGGTGCCAAGGGGAGATGATTGCGGGGAGATGCCTCAGGGGCGGGATAAAATCGACGAGACTGGGGTTGGCGGCAACGTAGGTTACTTTGTGCTGGACGTGGAGGATCTCCGTGAACAGAGGATCGCTGTGAGCTGGCACCCGTATGCCGTAGTGTAGTCCGAGGATGACGCTGGCCTGGGTCCGCTCCAGCAGCGGGTAGAGCTCCGTGCTGCTCATCACCGTCTTTCCACTTCCTTGCACAGCATTGACAGCATCACTGAGAAGCTGCCTCGACTCCAGCTCCATGAGTGGCTGGACCCTCGGCGCAGCCACAGCTCCAAGGCTCGGCGATAGCATGCGGTGATGTAACTTCAAGTGTGCGTCGTAGTCATGCATCAACGTCATCCTCGACGTGCCTGGCGCCGAATCGGTAATCATCTCCATGCTCACAGAGCTCGGCCGGTTGCTATAGAGGGCACTGCGCTTGCCGAATAGCTCCGTGGCCGCTTCGGCTGTGTTGAGCACCACGAAGGGCATGATGCCAAAGAGCTTCGGCGTCCCGACCGGTCCCTGGGCTCTAGTCCATGCATCCCAGTTCAGCATTGGCCTCTCTATCGGTGAACTGTGGAGGTCACCGATGATGGGCAACTTGAGAGGCTTCGGTGGTCTGTCATTTTTGGCCGTCCTCGATGTGAGAAACAGACCCGTCAGCAGAACGACAGCGACCAGGACGGCCAGAGTCGAGTCCACAGCCATGGCTTGGTGTACGTGAGGCGCAACGAGCAGATGTACTGGCACATGATGAGGAACGGATCAAACGCGGATGGAGCAGCTGCAATTATTAATAGTGACCGCATCATTCGAGTGATGGTGACGGTTGCTGTACGCCTATGGAGATACCGGCTTGGGCTCGATACTACCCTGCGTTGGTGGTAAGCACGGGGTATGCGCCGAGCGAATTACCCAGAATAGGTGAGACGGGCGCAACCAGCCGGGGCTGCTGCATGGTTGGCTGCGGTGAGTGGGTTGATGCATCGGACGAACTGCCAGGACGTGTCGGTGCCCCGCCCCGGAAGCGACGCAGGGTGGGGCCGGTATGCTAGGACGGCGGCCCGCATTGGCGCTGTTAGTGTACCCGATCAGTCCCGCTAGCATCGGCATTCAAATGAGATCGGACAAATGATTGCAGACTAGTTGTATCATTACCATTACTACAAAACCATCGCGCCTACGCTTTCTGGCCGTATACCACATGGCTGCGAACTTCAGTTGCTACTCACGAGGCCGATGGGGGACATCACTTACAAGTTGCCATAGGAGTGGAAGGTGCCAGCTTTCAGTTCTGCGCGCACCTTCGCCAGCATGACGAGCACCTTCGCCTCGGGCCATTGGAGTACGCCGCAAAAGACGCGCAGGGTGAATGCTTCAAGCCCATCTAGCAGCTGGATGAGGTTGCACATGCCAATGTCTTTGTAGTAGGCGTCCTTGGGCCAAGGGCCAATCGGCCACTTGTGCACGAAATGGCGGACGTTTACGAATCCGGCATCCCTGACCCATTGCTCGAGTTTAGGCCCTGGGCGAGATTCCCGTCCTATACTCACGGTCGCGTCGATGAACTGGGTGTTCCATTGCCAGGTGTGGTGTTCTTCCTTGTAAGAGCCGTCGTCAGACTTGAACAGGAAGTCATAGTCTTGAAATTCGGCCCATCCTCCGGGGTTCAAATTGCTGCCACTTATTAACGACAAGGATTGCTGGTAGAGGAAGGCGACTCACTCATAAACATTTCTCACCAGCTTGGGCCAATCGCCGATTGATCCAGCCAAGTACCGACTGAAAATGAAGTCAAACTTGGAAGGGTGCAGCCACGGGCTTTCGACGTCGTCAATCTCGAATTTGACGTTCGGTGGGGTCCTTTCAGTGTCAGTGGTTGGCTTAACAAGCGGTATGATGTGCGCACCACTCTGGCTGAATCGCACTCAAGTCGTTGCCGATGACCTGCTGGCTTTAGCAAAGAACCAACACCAGATGTTGCTAGAGGGAAAGAACGGTACCTCTGCATGATCGAACTCATCGCCCATCTCAATCGCCCCTGTATAGCTGCCATTAGCACGACTCCAGACCTGCGCAAAGGAGACCTCACAAATCCCTGTGCCGGTCCCAATGTCGAGAATCCTGTGGACCTTCTCCTTCTGTAGCGGGGCCAGGTAGAGCTCCTCATCGAGAGTCTTTCGAATCAACGCGTGGGTAAAGTCGAGGCGGTCGCTCTCATTCTTCGAACCTGTCAGGTTTGGCTCGAACCGGTGGCATCGTCATACCTCGTCGTTGGGGGCAAAGTAAGCTGATGGCCGCTGTCAGCTGCGGCAAGCAATCGAACGAGCCGATATACTTACATCCCGGTCGATAAGCGTGGTATCGCCGACCATGCTCCTCAGGATAATTGAGGACGCTCGAGGTCAACGTTGCCGTGTACGACGATCTTCCTCGTCAGCACGTTTCGCGAACACGGCAGGGTACTCACATGCGTTCGTCAATGGTTGAGTCGGCGTCTGCATTCTGGTGCAAGTCAGCGTGGTACGCCTGAGGACTCGCACGGCCTACATCTTGGTCAACCTCGAGCGGTCGCTCCCCTTCAGCAGAGTCTGGGGACGCGCGAGGGTCATCCGTGTCTTCGCACATCCTGAACCTCAAGCAATAAGGTCAAAGTCGGGTCTCACCGATGCTGCAAGAGAAGCTCCGGCGGGGAAACTCGAAAGGCGAGCGACGACAGACTTTGTACGGCATCGGCCGCCTTGCTCAGCCTGTCTGCCGCTCATCGAGGGCTGGGCGACCCATTTCTTGACGCAGGCCAGATGCAGAATCAGAGAGGCATTCCTTTTTCTCAGATTCACGCGCCCACCAAGTAATGCGACGTCCGGGGTCGGGAGCTAATCAACGGCTGTAACAGCGGGGCGGCCGGGCAGGCCCCGACGCTTTGATGCATCGAGGCCAATCGCGACTGCCCGCTTCCTTCCCCGGCCTGCAGGCAGAGTTCCGAGGGCGACATGGATGCATGAACCAGCTCAGTAATAAACATTTCGCATTGCCGGGAGGGGAAAGGAGTACGTGTTCTGACCCTTTCTGTCAGATGGAGATGTGATAACATCTTCAGTCACATCAATTGGTATGAGATCTGATGACCCAAGACATCTCTGAAAATCTGCAAGCTGGTGATTGATCTGGACGGAATCGCGAATGCAACGAAATTTGTCGTGAGTCGATTGGATTTGACATCAGACAAGGTGCCAGATTTGTTTTCCAAAACGATGTATCAAAGAAATCCAAAATCGGTGACTTGCGCTCAAGCAGTGAGAGTAACCGTCATGATTCTCTTGCAATCGAAGAGGAGCTTCCCTTCTCCAATCTCTATCCTGATTGTCATTTCGTGAGAGGTCAACAACGTCAATCCTCATCATTATCAGTGCTGGCTTCTGCCTTCTGACCATACACAACGTGGCTGCAGGCGGCAGCTGTTAGCCAAATAGGTATCTCGAAAGGCATTGAGAGAACTTACATTGTAATGTAAGCATGGAAGTCCCCCTTCTTCATCTCTCTGCGCACATGGGCAAGATGCACCAGGGTCTCCTCTTTCGTCCATCCCATGATGGCACAGAAGGCTCTCAAACTGAAGGCCTCGAGGCCCTCTACATAATGGATAAGGTTCGTCATACCGACATCCTTGTAATGAGGGTCCTTGGGCCACGGTCCCAAGGGGATGGGGAAGCTCTGGTGAACAACGTTGATGAAGCCGGCATCCTTAACCCAGCGTTCCAACTTGGGTCCAGGGTTCGGGTCGTGACCGATCTTGTTACAGGCATCAATCAATGTGTTGCACCACTTGGTTGTATGGTGCTCTTCTGTCAGAGTACCATCATCGCTGCAGAAAGCGATGTCGTAGTCCTGAAACTCAGCCCAGCCGTTGGGGTTGAGGTGCCTAGGATGTTGTTGATCAGTCCCTTGAACCGTAACGATGAGAGTCATTTGGCGTACTCGTGAATGTTTCTCACCAGCTTCGGCCAGTCTTTAATGGATGCAGCCATGTATCGGGAGAAGATGAAGTCAAATTTGTGGTCATATACCCACTCACTCTCAACATCATCGATTTCGAACTTGACATTAGGCGGCACCCTTTCTTCATGTTAGCACTGGCTTGACTTAGTCTTTCTAAGGCGCGTTTGTCTTACCAAGGTGGCTGAATAGCACTGAAATCATTTCCCAAAACCTGCATTGAATCAGTATTTGCCACAGCTAAAACGAAAATACCAAGAAGACCGTACCTCAGCGTTGGGAAACAGGTCAGACACCTCAACAGCCCCTATAGTAGAGGTCAGTCGCATCATCTTAGCATCAGAGAATAGTTGATTGCGTACAGATACCAGTTCCAGTGCCAATGTCAAGGATTCTCTGCGTCTCTTCCTGCGGGACTGGGGCCAAGAAGTGTTTTCCGCCGATCGCCTTCATGATGAGCATGTGGTTGAAGTCAAGTCGATCCATTTCGGTCTGTGAACTGATTAACGAACGAGCATTCTCACAGGGAATTTCCTGTCCCAGGTACTTCATCATTTGGTCCAAGGTATGCTAGTTTAGTGTCAGCCAATGCAGTGAGAACTCCACAAAGACTTGGCTACGTACAGCCTGCTCGAAAGGCATGGTAACGTCGACCATTTTCCGTGGGGTAGTCAAGAACGCTTGAGGACAGGGAAGCAGTGTACGATGAGCTGTTTTGTTAGCTTCCGTTGATGAGGCATACCCCAGGAGCACCTACATCCGATCATCGATATTGGACGCCGTCTCGGCGAGCTGATGCTTCCGTCAATAGTCTAGACAAAGTAAAGACCCAAGGATATAGATTTACTGACGTTTTCAGTATCGTCAGCTTCAAGATTGGCGGGTGCGACAGGCTCGTCAGGCGCTTCCACGTTAGACGGAGCCGTCACGTTGGGGGGAGAGGCCGCGGCCGCTGGGTTAGCCGGTGAATCAGCCATTCTCGATATCAAATGTCAGCCCGTTATTGAGAGAGTTTCAAAACCTTGGCGTGATCAAGTAAGTCTGCGGGAGTTGGTAGTATTTGTACCGTGAATCGACGTCCTTAAGGGTGAGGGGTCGAGGCAGAGCAGGCCAGTCGCCGAGTCTGCAGGCATCGTAAAAATCGAGCGGTTCCCTACATCTTGCCCATTCACTGTTTGGTCTTGTTGGTGCAAGGTAACATACAGACGTGCATGCGAGCGTCCCATTTTCCCAATTCGTTGGAGAAACTCGCGTTCGTCCGGGGTCTAGAGCTAATCAACAACCTGTCATCGTTCCAACGGCGGGGTTCTTCGGGGGCACATTCTGCATTTGTTGCATCTGTCGCATGGGAAGCCAATCATCGTGACCGGGCGACCCGCTTCGCTTTCCCCGGCCAGATGATGGATACAGGCAACTGTTCCGCATCTTGTGGGTGCAGAAGTCGAAGTAGGGAAACCGCAGGCGATGATCCTTTACCCTCGAGGAACACGTAGGCTTTACCGAAATACGCGCGACAACTTGGGCTGTCCAAACCCACAACCAGAGAGTTTTGATAAAGCATGACCTCGCATCTGTTGGCTTGAGCCCACATAACAGGCAATTCGGGTCCCTCAGACTTCGGAGCCGGGCTCTGGCTCCGCGTGCGGCGGTTCCTGTCATCATCAGGTGAGCACAAGTCAGACCCGCAAGCTTTCAGCTCCTAACGGCTTGCGGTAATGAATCAGGCTGTCTTAAGATCTCGACTTGTTGCCTATTGTCATCTACCAGATACATTGGAATGCTGAAGAAGATCCCACGCCATCAGAGCTGGGAAATAGTTCAGAAGTAATCCGACGACCAAAGTAGACAGGATACCGGAGAGTATCTCATGAGAATCTGCAACATCCACTGACGTCAATGACCCTAGATTGACCGATGATAGTGGTCTCACCTGTCTTAATCTTCAATTATTCGATAACGACTGACCATCACCAATGGCCATCCCGCCATTCAACGGATCCAGAAACCAGGGAAACCCCTCTGGGTCCCACTCGTTGTTGAACATTGTCAAAGGCGCCTCGCCAAAACTGTCGATTCCGTGCCCAAAGAACCCGCCCAGAGAATCGAGACCCATAGCGTTGACTGAGGTGGAACCTAGATCTGGACTTGGCAACAACTCGCTGAACCAGCCGTTCTTCTTGAGTACAAGCCTGATGGACTCGGCCGCAATGCGAGCCTCTCTAGACGAAGACTCATTCTTCATCCAAGCGCTGAGAGAGTTCCACAGCGCTGTTTTAACGTCCTCTTCCCTAGCCGAGGCATATTCATTCCCAGCCGCATGCAGTCCCTTGTACATCGCGCCGCAGAGGGTGATGCAGGCCGTCAGGAATGCATGGTTCCCAATAAGCGACAGCTTGGCTCCCGCAAAATGCAGCAAGCCTCCGACCATGGTTTCCTCGTTGAGAGTGTGTTGTAGCTGCAGAACAGAGAGACAAGAGTCCAAGCACTTCTTTCGCGAGTAGCTGAAGCTGTCGCTTGCTTCGCTGAGATATTTGCGATGGATCATGACCTCACCTATACGAAACATGAGCGCCAAGTACAGCCTGTGCATGATCAACAGCGGCGGATCCGTGACTGACGCCTGCAAAGGCTTCATCTTCAGTGGTGGTGGGAGGCTCTCCTCTGCCTCCCTCACCTGCCGATCCACTGCCAGTACTTCGGTGTAAGCAGGCGGCTTGATTGACGAAGACAGATCGACAGCAGCCCCAACCGCCACCAGCATACGCCTCCTCGCGATCAGTTGAGTGACAGCCGTAACCTCGGTTTCTGACCTGCTGGGTGGGATCTCCTTGGTGTCTTCGTCAAAGTCCGAGTCGTGTAGGTTCCGCGGCTCCTCTGTATCCCAGTGACCGGCACTAATCCTGCGAGGTATGCCTGTCCGCATCGACATCTGGAGGTCGCCCTCCAAGCACTTGACCCAGTTTCGGCGTCGAATCTCCCCGGCGAAGGGAGAAATGCTCGGGAAGTGGGACGGATCTCTGTGGTAGCCCATCTGGAGGAGCAGATTCATAGATACGCCGTGGAGGATGCCGATGGTCTGCGTGATATCCCTTCGCGACGACAACTCTATGATGACATACTGGTAGATGGTTTCCCAGGTGTATTGGCCTCCGTTGGCGTACTTTCCCAGTAGCAGACACTGTGCCGTCTTTTCGCGGTACTGATCGATCAAGGCCTTTGGATCTTCTACTTCCGATTTGCCGACGAGGTCATACGACATGACTGCCATGCACATGATTGAATACAGTAAACCCAGCCACATGATGGGGGTTTCGGATGGATTTTGACAGAACTCGGCATACTAAAAAGAGTCAGTCCCTGGGCGAGCTTCACGAGCATGATGACTCCAGCTTACCTCCCTCATGAACTTTCCGGTGTGGAATGCGCCTGTTGCTTCAATGAGCAGGTGATACAGCAAAGCATCATGGGCATCACAAACCTGATGCCAAGTCCAGAGTGTTGAAATAGTGCGATATGTAGCGGTCCAGAACTTGCTTCGGAGGAATCGAGTCTAGGATCTGTGCCCTCGAGGCAGAGCGTACGCTGTACAGCAGCGGCATCTCCATGTCGTCTTCCGGGGCGGGGATTGAGCCGGGAGTCGCACTGTTGGTCTGGATCTCCTCCTCCGCCTCCAAGTGGTCCTTCAACTCGGCGATCCCGTCCAGAATCGAGGCCCAGTGGCTGCTCCCAACATACCGAGCCTCGGATGCGTTCAGCCGGATACTGCCACTCTCAGACGTCTTTGATGATTCATCGCGGGCTTCGATTGGCGTGCTATTGACTGCTGGGACATAACCCGTTGCGCTATTTCCTGTGAGCGCCGTCATCACAGGAGTTTCGCGTGACGGCCCAGGGTCCTCCATCATCGTCACAACCAAGCTCTCAAGCTGGGCCAACCGAGCTTGAAGATTTGCCCGTGGTCGAGCAGTGGAAGCATGCTGGGAAATCCCGGCAGAGAGAGGGCCACTATTGGCATAAGTGCACGGAATGCCATGCTGGACGCACCTCTGGCAAGGTTGCTGACGGTCACATTTCTGTCTGGGAAGCCAAGCAATGAGCAACCATGCACATTCAATTGTCGAAAGTCCTTTGGGTACTCACTTGCGTTTGCGACAAGTTTCGCATACCACTGTGGGTTTGTCTCGTCGACGGTTTGGCGGGGGGCGCGGCCTCTCAGGTCCGGCAGAGGCGCCCTGGGTGGATGACATGTTTTCAACGATGTTGAGGCAGTCGGGATGGTATTTGGAAGATTTCTGGGCAGCTTTCGCTCTTGGCCCGCCCGCTTGCTCCAAGAAATCTTTTGAAGGAGATGGGAAGGTCGTCAATCCCAGCCTCCTTCCTGTCAGCGCACTAAAGTACCTACATAAGCGGGTAGAATGGAACGCCATGCCGCCTTTGTGCATAACGAGAGGGAATCTGACTGCCTATGCAAAAGAGGCCTAAAAGCAGCCAATGAGACCAAATTTCCGGAGCCTGCTGATGACGAGGCCATTGATGATTCCTGGTGGGTGAAAGACCAGCATGAAGCCACCTGCAGATTAATCATTCACATGCCATTGGTTTGCTCGATGGTTCTGGTTTCAATCCAATCAAGAAAAAGATTCTATTAGAATTATGAATGACCCGAAAGCCCTGTTTGTGAGAGAAACCTCTTCGTCTAAGACCTATCTATTGATGCTCCTTTTGTCTATCCCTTCAAAAGTCAAAGAACATGTCATATAGCCTGCTTTATTGGCGAGAAGCTCACAAACTGGTGGCTGTCTTGCTGCGAAGCCACCCTCCATACTTGTAGAAGAACATCGGGGCGGGTACGAAAGCCAAGGACAAGAAGCCAAGGAGAGTGTTGCCCCAGCCATAGTTGAGCGTCTCATACATCTTTGTGCCTGCAAGAGGGAGGAAGGCGCCGAAGAGGCAGCGCAAGAGGATGTTTGCGCCGAGGGCTGACGCGGCAGCCTCAGAGCCGAATACGTCGACCAGGTAGATTTGCGCAGGTAGCTACTCATTTCGTTAGCAAGCCGACTTTCAATGTTCGACAACAATTCCCTGAACTTACAATGACGAAGAATGCTCCAAAACCGATGAAGAAGGTACCGATGATGGGGGCGATCCAGTGCACCTGGTAATGCGCGGTCCAGCCATAGATGAAGAAACCAATGGTCATGACGGGAGCGAACCAAATCATCAAAATCAGCCGATGTTCGGGAACGGATCGCCCCTCTGACTTTGTGCGCCATGCCGATACTCGGTCACTCAGTGTGCCAAAGACGACGAGACTTGTCAACTCGCCAATGCCGATGCCCAAGTAGGCCAAACCGACGAGTTCGGCTTTGAAACCGTAGACCCCCTGGAAGATGGGAGTGATGGTGGTGAAGAGGAGGTACAGCAGGCCGAAGACGAGACCGACGTAGAGGGACATGATGAGGACTATGGGAGAGGAGATCAAGAGTTTTCCGGTTCGGACAAAGGCACCGATGAGGATTTGGGATGAGGTGAGGCGGCGGTCCAGCTTCGAACGCAGCTCCTGGTTGCCGGTCTCGCGGCGGAGACGGTCGGCTTTGCGGGAAAGCAGGATGTTGGGATGGGTTTCTCGGAGGAATGCCAGAGCTACGAATGAAATGACGCTGCTCTTGTCAAGATGTTAGTATCGTGACGATGGACCCGCCAGTCAGGGGTTGCTCACCATGATGGCCATGAGCCAAAACGTCCAGCGCCAACCCTCACGAGTTGACAGGAAGCCTCCTATGACTGGACCGAGGACCTTAAGGCACAATTAGCAGCCGTTTCAATAGTTTATCGGGTGATCAACATACCGGTCCCATCAGGGGTCCGAGAGCAAACAGCGCTCCAGCAGGACCACGGTGCTCTGAGGGAATCACGTCCGCGATTGTACCGCCTCCAATGGTCATCGGAGCAGATCCTGCGATTCCAGAAAGAACGCGGAAGATGAGAAGTTGAGGCACCGTCTTGCTCAAAGCTGTACCGACAATGAAGGCAATGAACAGGACGTTGCAGATGTGGTACACGATGAGACGGCCGTGCATTTCGGAAGCGGAGGAGATGATGAGGGGGCCCAAGGCAAAGCCCAGAAGGTAGATCGTGACGGATAGTGTGCCGATGGTTTGGCTGGTGATGTGGATGTCTCGGACGACGTATTCCATGCCGGGCGCTATCATCGTGGCGGCAAGGTTGCTGAGGTCCGTGTTAGTTACCGACGTGGATTGCAGCTGGGTGAAACTGTGACTTACACGACGAGGGAGAGCAGAGATACAATGACCACATGTCCGTACCGCAATCTTGCCGACCAGTTCAGCGGGTTTTGAGGATCTTCCGGGCCTTCCCAGTCGACGATATTCTCATCAGTGGTGGTGATGGTCGGGGCGTTGGAACCAGCCTCGAGATCGGCTGCTTTTTGTTCTGCATTCGAAACCACCAAGGCTAACGGAGTCTCCATTTCGAGGGGCGGTTTATCTCGTCAATGTATTGTGCTGGTCGATTCAGTGGTGTAAACAATTAGATGTTCAAGTTCTGAGTTGTAGATGTGTGGTGATGAGCTGATGCAGTGAGAGGTAGTGTCCTTCACCCGAGCCAAGACGGCCAATTTAAATACACAAAGCTGGGAGTTCGTCTCACCAATACCGGGCCGCTCCGTTACCATCCGCATGTTGTCCACCGAGTCGGATGTGTGGACCGACGGAGCGCGGTGTCGGAGGGTCGGTAGATCGGCCATCGGAGGGTCGGACGGTGAGATTGTGGACCGTTCGACCACCACACCACCATTATCGTATCAGATGCCTTGATCCAACGGGTTTAGGCAAAGAGGTAAGTCATAGTGTAAATACTTCAGGTTTAAAGCGTAAGTGCATTTATAATCTAGATCTATTCTACCAAACGCCTCACCCATCTTTCAATCACAACGCCTTCTCTCGCCCTCGACCTAAACAGACGGAGTCAAGTCGAAGTCCGGAGCGGCCCAACACCAAGCAATTTTGCCGTCCTGGAATGAATACGTCGCGATCTCGTTGATCTTGACCGGCTCCTTTCCATCGTCCCCTTTTTGGAGGTTCTTGTTCTCTGGGGCCCCTTCGAGCGTGAGCCTCACAAAAACCTGCTGCTTCTCGACGTCCGTCACCATGTCCTGGACGTGATACTTCAGCCCAGCTGTCGCGGGCAGAAGGAACTTTCCAAAGAATCCCACAACGACCTCGCGCGGTAGCGGGTTCCCATTCATCAACAGTTCCGGAGCCATCATCTGCGGTACAACAACCGCCATCGCTCCATCGTTGTAGCTCTGGATGTAAGTGTGGTATGCGCTTTTCAACTCATCCGCCGACAATTGTTTCTCCGAGACGGGAGGCGCGGTGGGCGAAACTTTGGCCAAGACAGGTGAACGCGGGTTCGGACGGGTTTCGATCTTGTAGAAGCGCGAGATCTTCTTGTCGTCATTGGAGAAGGCGAGGACGAGCGCCCATGTCTCAAGCTGTGTCCCATCGGGCCCGACAGTCTTTATAATCTGGCGAGCACCAAGTGATTTCCCGTCCGAGTGGACAGCGACGGCGTCGATTCTGAGTTGGGTAACGTTGCGCTGCTCAATGTCTGCACTGAGGAAACCAATAAACTCGTCGCTGCTTCCATGGTGTTCGTTGAATGTGATTGCGTCTTGGAGGAACTTTTTGGCGGCATCCCACTTCTTGAGATTGACTCTGTCCAGAAACTCCTGGAAGACGGAGCTGATGCTTTGGGTTGCCATTGTGTGGTTTTCCTGGCGAGTTGAGCTAACACTGGATTGCAGAATAAACCTCCCCATCGTGGGCTTCGGGATGTGTCTTTATACTCAGTATTCGCTAAATACAGCCTGTTCGGATAATAAACATACTTCGAAAGCGAGAGCACCGGCCGCATCGTTCGGAGTGGGGATTGCCAGAATTGGGAGTCGGGTCCCGAGCCACACCGACGGGCCGGCCCACCCACCTCTGGGCCCCGAACTTTACACCGGCAGCAACGGTGATGAGGAAATGCTGCGAAACTTCTCAGTTGCAGAACAGAGATTCCGTCGGAATCTGTATCGGAGGCGAGCCGGAATTGAGAGGGTGTTGGTTCGATCGCGAGTCCGCCATCAACCCTGGTTCGTCTCGTGTTCATGTGACGAACATGTTCCCTGCCGCGTGGGAGACTCGGAACGCGCAACCTTTTGGCCAAACTCATGGAGATAGACCATACCGTATCGCAAGTTCAGTTGAAGAACTCAATTTGACGAATAAAGGTGACCCAACCTCGGAAACCTTGCTGCCAAATCCTTGCGTCCAAGAGCCACGCCAGTTGAACGTGTCGAGCAATCATCAATCTCTCTCATCAAACAACAACATCATAAACCCTGGCTGTAAGAGTGCACGCAAGTCTATCCAAATAACGACTCTTTCAATCGCGTCAGCAGTGCAATCAAATTTCGTGCCTAGTCATTTCATCCCTCGCTTTTGATCTGTTGGGTCATCGCTTCCGTTCTTATCTTCCCCGTTATCAACCAACGGTTGGCTGCTTTTTGAAGCAGCTTGTGTTGGTTACCGGGGCTACAAAAACGTCTGCCTAGTTCCCCAGGGAGGTTGTGAAGCTGGGGACCCGGCCAATGAGGGGTGGCTTGGGCTTCTCATCACATATGCATCGCTGGTCAGCTTCAGAGGACTTTCGTTGTTGCCTGCCCTAGGCATTCACATAAGTCGAGACAGGCGCGTATGGGATGGTTACTTCTCTTAATCTGCGCGAACACCTCGCAATGTGACAATTTTGTCTGAGGCACTTTCCAACAAGTGTTTCACTCTAGCAAGCCAGCTGCGTCGATTGTGAGTGACCTCCTCGAACGCTGATGAGGAGACCAGTACATAAAGCAGCGACGTCCGAGCTCTTTGTCGCCAAAATCTCACCCCTTTTCAGACCGACTCAAACAGTCAACAAGCAACTACATCACAAGCATCTTTTCAACTGTTTCCAACCTAGAATCTCCAACCTAGAATCTACCCAAACCACTCGCAATCATCATGGCCACTGCCGTTAAGTCCGCCCCCTACACTGGTCCCTCCCCGCGCCACATGATCGACACCCACACTCTCGCCCAGGAGATCATCAACCGCAACAACGACCCTTGCCCGATTCTCGACGAAGACGAGCTGGCTCTCCTCTCCCAGTTCGTCGCCGACCCCTCCAAAGCTGGCGCCCTCCTCGAGGTCCGCGGCCTGGCGGAGGATCCCACCAGTTCTGGTAGCTTGGTGGCCTACGTTATCTCCCTTCACGGCACTGAGAAAGTCGCGCTCACCAACGAGGAAATCAGGCTTCTGAAGGAATGGTTCGGGAACGGCCAGAAGGCTTGAGACTACTAGCAGGAGACGATGAATTGCTCGGGTTCGTTCCACCTTACGACAAGCCTCCAATAGGACTCTACACATGGGCGCACTCTTTCACATTCATGACGGCTAGCCTGACTACTGAAATATGTCCACTCCCCCTTCTCTTTTCTGATGGCCAGGGCGTTGGTAACGTCCGACCCGGTGTCCATCTACTCTTTTTCCTCCACGATGACCTCCCCGGCGTCGGCAAGTCCGACCCGGTGTCCATCTACTCTTTTTCCTTCACGATGACCTCCCCGACGTCGGTAACTCCGACTCGGTGTCCTTCGATTCTACCCCCTTCGCGACGGCCTCCCTGGCGTCGGTGAAATCCGAGCCAATGTCCTTTAAATCGACATTCCCAGTGTCATCGTTCGAGATGATGACCTTTAAGTCAGCCTCTCTCAATGTAGCGACTGGCGTGCCTAGTGCCCTGGCCTTTATTGCAACCATCTGCCAAAACCACGAAGATGGCTACCTTGGTGGCCACCTCCATGGTGACCCTCTGTGTGGTAGCCATCTCCGTAAGTGACCTTATAGTCATCGCCATTGCCGCCTCCATAGCTACCTCCGAAACCCACGTGCGTAGCTTCTCGGGCAGAGCCGTAGCTGCCTCTGTGGCTGCCACGGCTGCCGCCAAGGTATCCACCCTTTTTTCTGTGATACCTGAAGCTTCGAGGGCGCTGGTCGGTGTATGTCGACGAGTTGCGGTAACCTTGGCCGTAGTTGGCCCAAGTGCGCTGCTCGCCTGCTACTTGCTTGGGGGCTGAAACCTGTTGGCCGCTCAGAGAAAAATCAGGCCCGACATCGAAAGCTGGGCTTTGATGCAGAGCGCCAGATTGAGAGGAGAGCTCAGAGTCAGTTGCACCAGCTGGATGCTCGTGGACTGACTCCGCTTCTGTGGCACGCTCACCCGTGTTCGAGGATGAGGACTCGCGAGAGCTTGTGCAAGCCAGAGCCTCGTGAGTTTGAAGGGGTTCAGCCTTCTCTTGGCCGTTCTCAATCTTGATTCTGACGGGGCCTCCCGAGTTCCTGATGCTCAGCAAGATTTTCTCACCGGCGAATTCAATAACTTGCGGGCTCGACGCAACGACATGGGTGATATTCAGCCGTTCAGCGAGTTGGCCAAGAAATTTAGTCTCGTAGGCCGCTTTTGAGGACGAAATAGTTTCATGGCTCGCGATGCCGTCTTCTTCCAAGGAAACGGCTCTCTGCAACACGTCTTTCGAGCGCTTGCGTGTATCCGAGACCGCTCCGTCCGTGGCAGTGACAGAAGAAGGGGTCTTGACGTTGGAACCCGCCAGTGGCTCATCACCAGATGCTGAACGAGCTCTGGGCGAACTGGGAAAATGCAGTGACTCAAATGAAGAAGCTTCAGTCTCCTCATCCGAGTCGTTCACTCCCACGACGCGAGGGTTGAGAATTGGCGAAGGGTCTCGAGCCCTTTGAAAGGTTCCAGCGCTGGCCTGCTGAAATTGGCCAGAAGATTGGCCAGAAGCTGGGGCGTTGCTTGACGATCCGGCGGCTGGTTCGCTGGATTCTCCGAATTCACGCTCCTCTTCCTCTTCAATTTGATCCATATCAAATACGCTGCCTCGGGTATCACCAAACCTAAGAAGGCGAATACTCCTGCGGGTTTGATGCGGAAAGATGGTGACGTTTGGGTCGTTTGGAGACGTGCAGAAAGTGCTGGCTTGATTGGTGAAATCCTCGCTGAGAATGGAACCGGAAAAATTGTCGCTGGCGCCTTCCCGGAGAATGAAACTCGGCATGTGAGTATCTTCAGCCATTTCATCGCGGTAGGCGTCGCCGACTCTGCTTTTTTTCTGGACGATTGCTTCATCGTCAGGCCCAAGACTGTTTTGTCGTTTTCTGCGGTATGTCGCTATTTTGACTGTCGTGTCGGTGGTGCCGGCGGTGGGTGTGTGTGTGTGTGTCGATGGGAAAACAAAGCTGCTGAGTGACTGAAATTTCTGTTTCTTTGCGGATTTCCCTGGTGCCTCTGCAAACCTTTTGTGGGCAGCTTCTGTCGGATAGAAAGAAGAAGTAGGCATACTCGCAGCTAATTCCTTCCGTTTTCGCCTTATATTCTCTGCTCTACTATTCTGCACCTTAGTTTAGGTAAATTACGCTTTGTACCGTTTTGCCTAATGGTTAAACAGCGCACTCAGCCTGATAAATGATCGCCTTGAACCCTTAGTTGTAATTAAATTCACGCTTTTCATACGCTCCTTAGAATGTTCTCATTTGCTTCTACTATCCTTGCCTTTGCTCAGGGGAAAAAGACTTCCCATGTAATACTGATCCTTCTAGCCCTCCAAAACTCTTGCGTTTGTGTTCAGCCCCATCGTCACATTTAGACTACTATCATGTCTATCTTTACATCCATCACCACGCCCATTGCTATGCCTACTGCCATACCTACTGCCATGCCTGTACCATCAATAAAGATTGAAAGTATGTTAGCGATAGCGAACAGGTAGTGAGTGCAACGGCTTCCCAACGCGCTCACATGCGCTACAAGATTTAACGGGCAGATGTTTGAGATTGATGAGATATCTCGAATCCGTATAAGAGTTGATCATGATAGTCGTACTCTCTTGCTGTCAACATCCTAAATGATTCCTATGATCATAGCACTTATGATCCCTTGCTGACCAAAGTACAACAGGAGGTGATCGTAGGTAGCGGGCCTGATGCCTGCCTGTCGCCTTAGGTGTTACCTTGGTTATCTATTGCATACTTAGAATTCGTCGTCAATTTGAACAAGTCACGTTGCATCGAACGGAGCGTCTGGCGGTATATCTATTCTTCATACTCAGTCTGATATACTCTGCAGCCCAATCTGTCTTAGTACTTCCTAGCCTGGCGAACAACACACACGGTACATCATATTCTCAGGCCCGCGCCCAACACCTCTAACTCTCGTGGCTCATAGGCTGACGCCACTCTAAGAGCTGTCATTCTTTGGGTCGGTCAGTCCGTCAAACAAGAGGTGGTGATCGTGTTGTTCCGGGCTGCAATCATGCGGAACATCCGAGACCTTGCATTCAGTTTCAAGAGACCGAGCAAGCCTATCCTCATCATCCTTCTCCAGCTTGTTGAAATGAAGGCCCATGAGTGCTATGGTCCTCATGCCGTATGTGCGAAAGCTTTCAGCAAGCCAGTCAGCTAGCTGGATGTGTTTGTTCGCGGGCCGCACTCGTAGATGGCGGCAGTACTCCTTCAGTCCCACCCAGATCATGACGTAGTCATCCAGAAGGTCCATGAAATTGTCGTCCGGGTTCCTCTTGAAGCTTAAGAGATACGTCTCTCCCTCGTAGTCGAGCCAGGCAATCTGCAGCGCCGGGTTTATCTTTCTGTTTGCAAGCTGAATATGGCCAGCGCTCCGAAGGAGACTCGTCTGTTGAACATTGGACGGAACTCTCACGGCAAAGCCCTCTCCAGGCAGGCTTTGCTCATCCCGAGGGAGGAAGGCCTTCTGGAAGAAATCCTCTCGCTCCTTCCTACCTCCGTCGATGGCTTCAGCAATCCGGTAAGGGATATTGAAGGTCTGAAGATCCTTCTTGCTGTTGAGTGAAGTCCAGACGATCGGCTGCTGGGTGTTGGCCGCCTCAGGGGCCGACGGGGCATTGCTTGCATTTGGCTTGAGATCGGCAGTGTTCTCAACCTGCGAGTTCTTGTTCATCTGGGAGTTTTGCTCGGTGTCGGACTTCCTCTTTTTGTTGGCGGATGCATGCTCTTCTTGCTTAGAATCGGCTTGGTACTTGCGCTTCAAGTCATTCTCCTGCTTTGGGTCGGAACATTCCTCCTTCTCAATGTCCTGGCTCTCCTTCGAGTTCTCGTCCTCCGTCAGGTTCTTCTTCTTCTTCAATTCAGTCTCTGGGTTGTGATTGAAGATGGCAGCGTTCTCGTTCTCGATCTTGGCCGCAATCTCAAGCCACTCGCGGTAGCCATCGTCGAGATCTGCCTTCTCCGCATCCTGGATGACGACAGGGCCAAAGTCCTTCGGCCAGGTGTTGTTGTCGTACAAGTCTGTCACGGTGTCAGCGATATGAGCTATTGATGGTGTAATGAACTTACACAGTGAAAATGCGCAGAACTTCAGGACCTGGTGTGCAACGTATCGCCGGGGCCTCCAGGCGAGATGCTCGGTGTTGCGGGCCCAGCCGTACACCTCGTTGATACCGCGCTTCCACATCTTCTGGATCTCAGGGCCCAAGAAATCCTCAAAGGTCTTGGTGTAGATTGCGACCCAGATTTCTCTGGTGACGCAGCCGTCTGCGGCATCCTTGGGCGTCCAGTTCTCGGCGCGATTGTCGTTCTTGGTGGGCTTCTCGCCCGAGTCGGGATTTGGCTGCGATGATGACATTTTGTCGTCCTTGCTGTTTCACCAAATTCACGAAAATCCGTGTTGTTGATGAAGATCAAAAAGGAAAGGGAAAAAAAGGTCCCAGGTGAGAGCGTGGTCAGTAATTTTCGAGACTCACCTGCGTTTGCTGCTTCTCGGTCGTTGGTCCCACAAAATCGGTGCTTGGCACGGGGACAGGGGGTGGCCCGTCCGGCGTTCTAACCAATCAGAAGACAGGAGTGACCTTTAACGAGAACAACATGCTGCTCCAGCGCAGTCAACACGTCCTTCTTGCTGCTGTTCACCAAATCAAAGAAGCCTTCTAGAACGCTAGGGCTTGTGGGCCCTTTGAAAGAAAAAAAGTAGACACGCAGAAAAAAAGAAAAAAAAGGGCTACAGCTGGTTTATAGATGACGCTAAGGACGACGACAGGATAGATAGCAAGGAAGAACACGGCAAGGACGACAGCGGTTGTTGCTCGTGCCTTCGAAAATTAGTGTCACTCGGAACTCAGCTTAGATACAAGTGAGGTACTAGATGTCGTTTACAGATCATCCGGGCCAAATCTATCACGGTGTTCTGCGAGGTTCAATGGACAGTCTCGCGGAGCAAGGGGTCACAAGAGGGAAGAAAGCTGATGCCAATGTGTATTTCATGCTATGTACGGCTACTTTTCACAATCACAGACGTAACAGAGCTGATTGCCCCACCAAGTGTCTGACTTGTCTCTCAACCGCAGCAGTACCAAAGCTGATTGCTTTGCTACTCTATTCTGCTGGCGCAACAGAGCTAGTTGCTCTGCTACGTTTCTGACTTGTCTCTCAACCGCAGCAGTAACAGAGCTGATTGCTTTGCTACGCATCTGAGCTATATCCCGACCACAGCGCCGGTGGTAACAAGGCTGGCTGCTTTGCTACTGATCCGAACTGTCTCCCAATGCCATCCTGGCATCCCGGCCCCGGTTCCTTGTCTTAGACTTGGACGACCTGGACGGCTTGGACGACTTGGACTTCCTGGATCCCTTGGACTCCTCGGGTGTCTTGAGTGCCGTTGGATTGGAGGTATCCTCCTCCTTCCGTTTCTTCTTAGCAGTCTCGTTGTCCTTGTGGGAACCCGGTCGCTTTTGCGGAATGATTGGCGCGGGTTTGTCGGCAAAAGAAGAGTCGTTCATGACTTCATCTTCGTCGTCCTCGGGGCTGTCGGGGCCAGATAAGCTGTACATGTCGACTTCTTTGCCCTTCGCCTGTGGGGTGGCGGGACCAGAAGCATCCTTCATCTCGGCGTCTTCGTTGACCTCCGGGGGGGCTGGGGCGACGGCGGGAGGGACCCGCCTCCGCGATCTGGGCCAGGCACGGAAGCCGCTCATATCGATGACCCTCCTCTCTTGAGGATAGTTCTTCCGGAACTTGGGATGAGTCATGTCGTAGATGCAGACGGTTTTGTCGCCCTCTTCCTTGCGTGACATAATCTCAAAGATTTTCCGGTATTCGGTGCTTCTTCGTCCCGCGTCGCAGGCATCTCGGCTTTGTCGTTCGATGTCGGTGAGAGGAGGCATCCGGTGCGCCCGCGTTCGGCTGTAGTAGAGGCAGTACGTGTGGCCGTACTCGGCAATGTCCCACTTCATGTCGGCGTAGGGGGAGGGATCCTCTGGGTAGATGTCGTGGCCGCCTGCCGCGAAGAGTCGGATGCGGTCCCTCTTGTCATCCTGGTAGACACCGGCTCCTCTGAGTCGGACCGCTGCCGTGAGATTGTACTGCTCATACTTCTGTTTCTCCGGAAAGTCTACGCCATAGGGCAGCTCGACGTTGAAGGAATGCAGAGCGTCCAGAATGCTTTTCGTCGCGGGCTGAGGGGGTGTATCGGACTCTAATGACCTCAGGGCACCAGGCGAAGTCGAATCGCTCTCCAGTCTCCGTACCCTCGAGCGGGAAGGAACCACAATTCTCTTTGATGGCTGCGAACACGTCAAAACCGGTCTTTCCGGTCCTGGCGTTGTCGATCTCGATGACTTGGGATCGGGGTGACTCTGCAGCCTCCCATGCGGCGGTTTCGCTCTTCGCCATCATCGAACCAAAGAGGCGATACGCTTGTCGGTTCCAGAGGGTCTTGCTCATCAACTCCGAGTTGTTCCAAAAGTCAAAGGAGTATTGGTTCTTGTAGTTGCCATCCACCTGAACCATCTCCTTCTTGAGCATCTCGTACTGCTGGTTTGTCTGCAGGGGCACCGCCTTCCATGACAGTCGCAGCAGCGGGTTGCGCTTTCCCTCCTCCAGTCTGATCGATCCGGGACCCTCCTGATTCGGGATAACCTCGTTGTAGTCGGTGATACCGTTGTTCATGTGTCTTGCCAGCACCATCATGCAAGCGATACCTGAGGTGTCGCCCGCCTCCTCGCACTCTTCCGGCCAAAAGGCGTGGAGGTAGTGTCGAGTTCGGTGGAGGTAAGCGGTCTGTTCCGCATCGCGGACATCTCCGTCGTGGCCACCACCCCAAGCCGCGAGGCTATACTGAATCGGTATCATACTCATCGCGAGGATTTGCGTGATATTGATACCTTGGCGTTGTGTGGTGTGGTGTGGTGTGGTGTGGTGTTGTAGCCAGGAACTTGCGAGGAGGACGTTGACGCGGTAGGTCTGGAGAAGTGACGTCTCGCTTAGCGTGACCACCCCGTGCCTGCTCCAGCTTGCCCACTGCCCACGCGGGAAGGAAGGCCCAAGAATCACTGCCTGCCTTACACCCTGAACGACCTCTTTGTGCTTTTTGTCTATCGGCCTATCTTCGATCACAGTGCTGTCCCGCTTTCTTTGACCCAGCGTCCCGCTCCACGTATTAAAGGGGCCGGGACCAGGACGAAGTAAGAAGAAGACGGCAGTCTTGAAAGTTCGGGCCAAAGCCAGGCGAGGGAGGAGTGAGCTTGATCCGTTCAAGCTCACTCATGAACTGTAATAACACTTGCTTACGATTCGCGGTCAGAATTTCGAGCCCGAGAAAGTCTTCGTTGACACCCACGAAGATTTTCGCCGTTGGAAGGAAGTCGACTTTTGGGCATCTACTCTCATGTTCTTCTCTTCGTCATGTAACACAGCACCGGCTTCATCTGCCCATGTGTGTGTGTGAGGGGGGGCTGGGGGGGGGGAGGAGAAAATGACAAAGTAGTGCAACGAGACAGCAGCGCGGCTTGATGAGTGCTTCGGGACGCCCTGCCTCATATACTCACTGATTCTCAAAAGAGGCAGTAAGAGAGCACCCATGCAGCCTTCAGTAATAAGTAGGATTCGTATTTATGTGGCATCGGTGAAACTCTGCCGGGAATCTCAAGACGTGCCCGGTGATAGGTGAGCGACGACCCAAAGGCTGCAGGCCCCAGACCGCACACCGGAGTGCCTCGCCGGAAGTTGCAGAATAAAAATCCCTAAGTATTGACTGCCATAGAGAAAGACGAGCAAGGGCACTGAGCTCGACCGTTACGCTGAGCTGCGTCGGGACGCCCCACTGTTCCTCGACTGCCTTCCCTCTGCCCCCTCTCACTCACGCTCGCACTCGATCATAACAACAACACCACCACCACCACCACCGATTTTTTCTCGTCACAACAAGAAGAGAAAACATCAAAGTGAGAAAATTCCATCGCATCTGCCAAAAACATCTCATTTCCTGTTCGAATTTCTTTTTCTCTGGCCCTTGCTAACAGATGACTTGAACAGCAACATGCCTCCTTTCCAGGAACAAGACGGCCCCCCGGCCCCCGACCACCCCTCCAACAACGAGCGAATCGTCGAGAACAAGGATATCGCCCAAGATCTGCCGGCTATGATGACATGGTTGGAGCTGGTCCAGCGAGGCGCGCAAGAGCAAGCTCAGCTCCAGCAGCAGGGACTCCAGCAGCACGAGGATGACGACCAGTCGGATATTCCCGTTCTCGAGGCGGAGAATAACCAAGAGCAGCCTATTCAGGAAGTCGACGACCACGACGAGCCCGAATTCATCTTGGATCAAATGCTGGATGTCTTCCTCGGAGACCTGGACGAGCCCGTTCCGCAGTCGGGTGAGGATGAAGTGAGTTTCGTCCGGCTAAGTTCATCTTCTCAACCCAAACCCAAGCCCATACTTTCAGGTAATGAATAAGGACTGTAATTACAACGAATTGGTGACATACTGGGCTCTTTATCGATGGAAGTAATACAACCGTCGGCCGTCTGATCATTGCTGGCATTTATGCATCTAATACTCATTTCGACCTCTATGTTTCTGACTGAACCCCTTGCCTATTTACAAATTATCTATTGAGAACTTATGGAGAGGGGGTTGCTGACTTTTCCCAGGGGAGACTGGTCTTTTAAAGGAGCCACTCAGGTAAGCAAGGGCGACGAAAGCTACGACGGCCCTTAGATAGACACCCAGCTCTATGACAGAAGCAGGAAACATACGTCTATCCCCATTTTAGATCATAGGACCCCCCCCCCCCCCCTCTCAACCTAAAAAGAAAAAAGAAAAGTCGCGCAAAAGTGACCGAAAGAAAATAGACAGAAGAGAGAAAAAAAGAAATGCACAGGACTTTTTTTATAGCTGGGGCTTTCGCCGAAATCAGTCTTAACCGGTAGTTCCTGCTAAGACTTTGTTTACTTCCAGTCCACAACGTTTTTATTCTTAATCAGTTATATTATAATTGTCGATGGTGAGATTCGAACTGGGTTTGTCAACTTCAGTTAAACGACTTTCTGTACGTTTCTCTTAAAGAAGACTCAACCAGCTAGACCATGTGCTTCATATTTAAGAGCCCAGCGCTGCTAGGTTCAATATCAAGGACGTGAGGGCGAAGGTGAGGTTCCGGCCCCACACATTCAACTACGGAATACGCCTCCTATTTTCTTTACAGAACAGTATCCATTCTGATTCGTAATTCATTTTCGTGCTATATTATTCAATTTCCTGTATCTGACACGGGGTACACTGGCGACACATAGAGGCCCCGGTGAAATGCCAAGCTGTCTTGCAACATCAAGTCATCCGCCAGTATTCATAGTTTATGCCCTCAACGCATTCATAGAGCTCCCTCAGTATTGGCGTCTATGAAACGAGGCTGTCAGGAAGTAACCCAAAATCAGCATTTGGACCGACTGGGAGAATGCGTCTGGGGGAAGTCGCCACGCGTCTAGGTACCTCGCAAGTCATTTTGATAGGTACGCTGGACACTGAGCTTCAGGGTCTCAAGGTATGGGAAGGTGTGGTTCTTTTGCAATCTAGGTACCTGCCTCATTCTTTCCATTGAATCTTTTGTTAAACAATCAGATGAGCTCAACTTCACTTGCGCTACCCAAACACGCATGGGCAGCTGTTGATCCACTTCAAAGAGAGGCGCATAGCACCCAGCACCCACGGTCGTCCTCCTTCCTTGGCTGCCTTTTCGGCCCAGAAGCACCTGCCTTCCACCGGGTGCCAGATATGTCTGTACCTTAGCCACCTGCCACTTTGCCTTCGAAGCGGCGATCTATTCTGACTTAACCAAAACAACGCGGCCTCACTAATTTGACCCAAACGGGTCTTCTCAGATGCTCAAACAAACGAAGCTGCCATTCGATGTGGCTAACAAAGAACGAATACGAATCTGAGACACGTTTGTATTGCCTTTCTCGGGAGGCTCAGTGCTAGTGTGCGATCCAACGCCGGTTCCGCCGCGGATCGAGCATCCGGATATCAGACTTTGCGAGTTTTTCGACGTGGAGACATCGTGTTCTTCGGAAACACTATCTTACACGAGTATTTGTCAAACTAGACAACGTTCGGACCGTACGCTAATGATTGTTCCAGGCACGAAGCACCAAGCAAGGCACATGGATTCAAGCAGAGCAGCCCCCACGATATTTGTGTCCCTGTTACCAGGCACCCGGATGCCACCCACAATCAGCATTTGGATCGAGCCACGCCACCACCACCAACATTGTTCGTCATCCGGGCCGTTAGTCCCCTGCAAGCCAATGGCGTCTGACAGCGGCCCATCGAATCTCCGCGTAGGCGGCCCCGGAGCCGGGCGATGGACGTGAATTCCATTTGTCGGGATGCGAGAAGCGAATATCGAGACGCGGCGACTTGATGGTACAGAAGACCGAGCCCCGTCATCCTTGCGCAGTTACCTCGGGCGGACGCAGGTCCAAGGGTTCGACGGCGAGTCCAACCTGTGTACTGCAAGCACCAACTCGGCCGACTGCACCGTTGGGATCGCATATTTGGTGCTGAATGTTAACTAAGCAGCCACAGTGCAGGTCGGGCGATATCCTCACATAGTGGCTAGGCGCATATCGTGCGTCCAAGTAGCTGCTACCTGGGATATGCAGCGTGTGCCCCTTTCCCACAAACACCAGGCCAGAGTTCCCATCCGACCTGTCAAACCCCTCTGGGACGTGGTCGCTGAACCAACTCATCTTCAACGGACCCCAAACTCGGCGCCACTGATCCCCTCCAACGGGTGTCCAATCCCTTTTCCCACACGATCCCCTCGCCAAACCACGTCAGATCTCGTCGCTCGTTCCCGCAGACCAATCAGAGTACAAAAGGCGTCAGCGCGGAATTGAGTCTCGGTCACATCCGCAGGTCTCCTCCCCACCTTTTCGGGAGTGGCAGAAGTGGCAGCGGTGCCAACGGCTGTCCCCTCCGGAGCTCCTTCCGGAGAGAGGCCCCGGTTTCGTATCTCGACCAATACGGGCGCGAAGCGTCTCCGCACCACGATCTTCTCTCCCCACAAAATGTTTCGTTTCAAAGTGCGACGGTACCGGAGCAGCTGCACCGCCTCAGAGCCCCTCAACCCCCCGGCTCCGCGGCAGCCACCGAGCGCCAATCCGGGATGGGTACGTACTCGAGCCGGGGGGCACAGACGGCAGAGGCGATCCCCACCATCCTCTTTGGGATGCTCAGCCGCATTTCAGGCTCTCATCCCTGCCAGCTGTGAGTGGCAAGCCACACCCTCCCTGCCTCTCAGTGTCTCCTTGCAAGGCAGGGATCGAGCATCTGGCACACGCTTCTTTGCTTCTGTGACATCGTTTTTGTCCGTCTCCGAATGCCGACACGGGAGACGAGTGTCTGTTGGTACGAAGATCTAGATGTGGGCATTGCAAAGTTAGGCTCACAATCGCATTTCTGCCCATTTGCAAAGTTCCTGCTGGCCGGCATCGGTCTGTCACGCCCAAATACGAGAAACAAAAAGTTGAATCCACACGCAGAGCAAACTTCCCCCTTCTGATTATGCGCACAGCGAGCCCGTAGCCTCCATGTAACGCTTCATGCGCCGCGCAAGGCTAGATGCAAAGCTGCAAAACGCTCGAGCTGGGTTCTTACTACTACAACTCTCGGGAGCAAAGTCAAAATGCCCAAACCCTTGGAAGCCTGTTGTGCTGTTTAGCCCTTCTGGAGAAGAAAAAAAAAAAAGCTCTTCAGCTCAAACTTTGGCCTCCAACACGACCCCTACAAACGCCCATGCGACGTTACTCTCAACGCGCTCTACCCCAGGACGCGTAACTCACACTTCCGCGAAGCC